CATACATCTGAAATGAAAAATTTTATTTAGCTTTTGATTAAATACAGGATTTTAAATTTTTTTGTAAAATATTAATATATATTATTTATATGTTTATCTAAAATTTTGTTCAATATTCTTTTTAATTAGCTAAATCAAAAGGTTTTTAACAATAAAAATTGAAAATTAATTTTCCAAATTGAGGATAAAAGAATAACATAAAAATCCAATCTTTGATTTTCCATATTTACAATTTTCAGGAAAATCTAAAATCAAAATATTTTTCCCCTTAAATGACTTTATCAGTTCTATATATCATTACTGAACAACACATAATATTGAAAATCTTCCTATAATCCATACAAATTTTATTTTTAAATCAGATCAAATTTTAAAACATTTGCGTTTGAATCTAATGTTTCCTTTCTTAATTTATTCGAAATATGAAAAAAAAATCTTTTTTAAAATTTTCAAAATACATTTTTCAAAAAATTTTTTTTGCACATCAATTCCCTGTCATAAATGATTACAGATTTTTGTTTATATTGAAAAAATTTATACTAAAATAAGTATTCTCTTTGTATCCTTAATTTTCAAACAAAATATATGTCAAAAATCACCTGTTCGGATACACCTAATTTACATAAGCGGACTACCGACCATATAAATATGGGTTGGTACCGGAAGACGGGGAAGATAGTAGAGATTAAGAAATTGAATCCAGAGACTCTGCCCGACTGCGATTTAGTCAACCCATTATGCAGGAACAGTCTTCCCAAGAATATACCAAAACTAACTGTAAATATTGTGTACCTATTCTTTGTTTCAATACATTTTTTTAACGTACATTTTGTGTTGTATTATTCCATTCTTATTTAAGCTTCAACACATACACACATATATATAGATATCTAATCTTAAATATCAGAAGAATATATATATATAAAAGAAAAGAATATATATATATATATATATATGAAGAAAAATATATACGGAAAAAACAAACAAAAATCCTTATATACAATTATGCTGTTTTAATGTTAATATGTCAACGTCGGACGTTTCGGTCTAATAAACCATCTTCAGGACATATTCATAAATTATAACATTATCAATACAACATGACAAAGACGATGTACATAAGAACAAGACTTATCCAAACAGATAACTGAAAGTTTTATAAAATTTATTTTCCGTTTAAAACATGGTCACGTTGTCGTCACGTGGGCGACGCTGTTTAAAACGTATTCTACAATTTTGAGTATTTTGAAGGAAAAATGAAAAAATTCTATTTTGATCTAAAAATTTATATAATACGCTTGTCGAATTAATCTTGCTAGAAATATAAATACTAAATTTCCAGGTCTAGTATTCACCGTGCGTGAGATGGATATTATGCCTTTTCATAAATTCGCCTAGATTTTTATTATGAAAATATTTTAAAATCTTCACGGAATCAAAATCGAAACGTCTTTGTCTGCTTTAGTTGTGTTTACAACTAAAGCATTGTTTAAATTCAAGAATGAACATCTAGTTTATGTTCGAAAACACGAGATTTTACGGACCTACATGTTTCACCCACATATTTTTAAGTGGCAGTTTTGCATGAGATTTGGTATATATATATATATATATATATATATATATATAGAGAGAGAGAGAGAGAGAAAGACAGAGGGAGATAGAGAGGGAGATAGAGTGAGAGAAATCACCTGTCGTATTTCGATATATGAGTTTTATAGTATGTCAAGATCTGCGTTACATGTGATAGCTATTTTACCTTATGCTGATGTTGGCAGTTGTCCAGTGATGTGGTTTCTGTTAATTGGCGTTCTTTGTTTGTCATTCCATGGCGACAGTCCACAAATTTCGGGGAAGAATGATCTTCACCAGGACCAACGGGACTTTAAGTTGAGGAATTAAATGTTGGCTTGTATTATAGGGATGTATTGAACCCATGCCCTGTTCGAAATATTAGGCCATCCAAGAATGCTAGCTTGTTGTAGCATCACAAGAAAAAGAAACTTAAAAAACAGACACGTATATCCTTATTTTCGAAATAACTCAGATCCCTAGAAGCCGGGCATAACATTGAGCCAATGGAATAATATATTTATGCTCCACTAAGGTGCTTCAAGTACCAAAAATTTGGGCACCATATGGATATCTGTAGGAATCTTCCAACATGTGGAAAATGTGGTCAAAAGGATTTCAGCCATACTAATGAAGAATACCACTATGAAGTAAGATGTGCTGCCAGAAAAACCATCCAACATATTCCCGATCTTGCGAACTCTTGTAAAGGGCAAATGTGATCGTCGAGGTAACACATAAACAAAATGTCTCATTTGTAGAAAAATAAAAACTGTAGAAAGTTATTTGTCGGAATATGTAAGGCAATTAACACAAAAGGCTGTAAGGCAAAAATAACAGTGCTTGAAGGACCACAACGAATACCAATCAACCTGACAAATAGGAGAGCCATCATTGAAAAGGTTCATATTATTTTACCAAAAACTGGCCTAAATTTCTATCATTTTAACTTAATATGGAAATAAATGAAATTAAAGAGGCATGGCACGTATTAACTGAACAAGCTACCCTTATAAATTCAAATTAAGGGGTTCGGTAAAAAAATCCCCACAAATATCACCTGAAGAAGGCCGGAGCGTAGAATGTGTGAAACACCGTGAATATTGCAAAAAAGATGAGAGCTGCAATACGAACAATGTAAACAGTGTCCATCGTTGAATGTTTTGAATTCAGAGATGTCTTTCTCCAAGACTGGGTGCTAACCAAGGCTATAGGATTCAATTTGTCCTACGATTTAACTCAGAGCCCAAGAGAGTTCTAGAACCACGTATTTATTGCCTGAAGTATTTATTGCCTGAAGTATTTATTGCCTGAAGTTTCCTAACATTCACTGATATTATAAGATGAATGGTATTATATTGAAGGACCTGTACACTTTTTTTTTTCATTTCTATGCAATTTTTCTAATTCCTTAATACATTGTCCATATTTCAGTAGGCATCTTTAAGTTACTACACTACTGAAAAATTTCTGCGCCTGAGTAATATAAATGTCCGCTGTACATAGATAAATTCTCAGAATGCAATTTTTTTGATAAAGATATGAATTTGATATTTAAAAATTAAAAGCGCAAATAAAAAAATTGCAAAGAAAAAATGATTCTGAAAACTAATAGGACTGGTGCATTTTTAGGATATACATCCATCATTTCAATATATATATAAAATATATATATATATATATATATATATATATATATATATATAATATAAAGTGAAATGGAAGTCTACAAAATTTCTTTAGGCGACAGGCTGTTTTATGCAATGGACGGAATCGTCAAACATGATTACATCCAGCATGAAACATTCCTGTCTTGCCTCTGATTTTACATTAAAGTCATAATGTTGACTTTTATATTTATATTTACATACTTTATCTTTGATATTGAGCACTTTATCCCATAAATATAAAAAATATATATATATATATATATATATATATATATCCACATATATATCCACATACAAGACTGTTTAGCTGTATCACAGCTCATCATGTGTGTGTGTGTATGTGTGTGTTTGTATGTGTATATATATATATATATATATATATATATATTTATTATGAAGATGTTACATACGAACAAACAATTATTCACGACGAAGATGCATTTTTGTTTCGATGCGAATGCATCTTGACAAGGGAGGAACAAAGATGGTTATAAACAATTCTATTTAAAAATGCTACTTATAAAACATCACTTTCTTTTTTCATTTAAAAAGACATACGGAGAAACACAATAAATGGAAAAATATATAAAAAAACTTTCCATTTTAAATAGGAAAAAGAAAATAATAATAATAATAATAAAAGAAAAAGAAGAAGAAGAAACATCAGATAAGAAAAAAATAAATAAAAAACAAGAAGAAGATTTAAAGAAGAATGTTTCTAAAAAAAAAAAAAAAAAAAAAAAGAGATATATAAGATTTAAGAAAAAATTGAAAAGACAACAATTTTCATAAATTTAAAAAGAAAAAGAAGAAGAAAAGTAGAGAAGAGAAAAACGAAGAGGAGAAAGATGTAAATGAATACTAAAATGGAAAGAAGTTTTAAAGAAAAATTCAAATAAAGAAGGAACAAAAAGAAGACAATGGCAAAAATTGATAATAATTTTTCCAATGAAAAATTTTTAACATTAAAATAAAAAAATATATATATCAATATTTAAAATAAAACTGAAAAGAATTTTACATTGAAACACTCTTCGAAAATTGACGTTATTCAAAATGTTTAGACACATTATTTATTTGAATATATATATATATATATATATATATATATATATATATATATATATATATATATATATATATATATATATATATCAGTGGACTATTGACGTCAACATTTAGCGGTGATAATATATTTCATGAACAAAATGCAATCTTCAGGCTATTAAGATGAAACCGACCGTCACATCTGTATGCTGACCTCAAAGTCACTATCTGTCTATTCCTATCAATTTTTGCAACCTTAGTTTGATCATATCTAAAATCTATCTATTTTATCTATCTATCTATATATAATATATATATATATATATATATATATATATATATATCGGCTGCTATATAACACGAAAATTTCGTGGATTTATTTTTTTTCAAATTCAAACAAAATTCGCACTTGATTGATTTGAAAAAGAACTCTAAAGTCAAATGCATTACACGCTCAAAAAATATATATTCAACTGGCAATGAATACCATATTTTTTAAAAAATTATATCGGTTTACGCATATTTCGCCGTAGTGTTTGCCTATGTATGGGGAATTTGCGCCCTGAAGATGACTATTTGAAATTGTCGAAAGTTTTTGGCACATTTTTTCCATCTGGCAACACAAATATAAGTATCTTATTATTCAAGGAATTGATATTAAGTTAACCTTGCTATTTAATTTTTTGTATAAATTGCTTCTTTATGATATAGTATATCTATCTATCTATCTATCTATCTATCTATATTTCTATCTATAATTATTTATTTATTATATTTTTGTCATATAGACAAAACCAGTTTACTCCTACAAAGATGCAACTTGGTTTCAATGCATTTTTGACTGCACTTCGACGGGTGAGAATCGTTTATGTTTCTGCTTGTCACCTATGTTTTTTTTTTTGTATATTTTTTTTTTCTTCAAACAAATGGAAAAAAAATGAAAGTGACGTGTGACGTCTACTGCCGACTATTTGGTGCCAGTTTTGATATCTCGTTGTAACTCATCAGCGGAACCTTTCACTAACATGGCGTACATTCCCGACTTTAAACTTATCCACCAGTAATGAGATGGGAAGTTTCAGATTTCTCGAGTCTCACTGTGGAGAAGCAGGGAGGAACTACAAGCCACTAGGGCAGGTACATGTTGAAACACAAATATATATATATATATATATATATTAAGAAATGGACAAAGTCCGACAATTTATTTATTAAAGACATTTTTATGTTTAAAGTTCTTTTTATAGATACAAGTATTTAAGTAAATGCTCTGTTTATAATAAACAGTATTAAATAACATTTACCGGCCTGAATGTCCGAGAAATTTTAATAGAAAATATTCGTACTTTGAAAGGATTCAAACCTGCATCCTATACGGAACCTAGTCGGTTAAGGCACGTCGCGGTTTAATAATCTCTTTAATTTAATTTAATTTAATTTGATTTTATAGGACTTCCTGTAGTTCGTAGCTTAGTCAAATAAATTTTCGTTCCTTATTTGGAAAAATCAAAAGTGTTATTATTCAACATACAAAAAACTCCCATTATTTTCACAATAATTTAACTATTAAAATAATAAATATTTGATAAAAATGCAATATTTTTCAATGGTTCATATATATATATATATATATATATATATATATATATATATATATATATACAAAATCCCATTTCCTGTTCGCCCTGAGCTTTCTTGAAAACAAATCAAAAGGCTTCAAAAACTTTAGAATTTGACTCCAGAATGAAATATTTACTCATTGCCAGTTGAATGTTGCATGCTCAAGCATAAGAAATTATTAAAAAAATTATTCTTCGCTGTTAAAACAATATTTTAATAACATTTCTTTTTTTCTTATTTAACAGTGAGGAATACTTTTTTATAATTTCTTATGTCTGAGGATGCAACATATAACTGGCCATGAGTCTGAAGCGTTTGTTTATATTTCTATCAAACTCACAGCGAACAGGAAATGGGATTCTTGTATATATATATATATATACTATTTACATTTTTCGGACTATTGTCCTCATCTTTTTCGCCATATTTATTACAACGTTTCGGCCGTTGTACGCTCCAAAAAACATTCAGATGGTTGATAATGTCGAACTGAACCCTTTATTTCGCTCAGTGTTCTACAAAATAAATGTTTAATGGATGTCAGCTATCAGTTATCTCCTGTTAATTCCCCTCTCAAATTCTCCACTGCCTTAAATGGTATTGAACTCACACTCTTTGGGTCCTGTCACTGGATCTAATATATATATTTATCCACTGTGCCATGTGTCATCATCTCAAAAACACACCCCATATATATATATATATATATATATATATATATATATATATATATATATATATATATATATATATATATATATATATATATATATATATATATATATAATATATATATATATATATATATATATATATATATATATATATATATATATATATATATATATATATATATATATATATATATATATATATATATATATATATATATATATATTTCAATATATATAAATTCTTTCTGCCGGCAGAGAGAAATGTTTTCTAAATCCTATACAGACCGATTCCAAAATCTTCAAATGATTATTGGAATCGGCTGTATTAAATAAAATTTTACCACTCTTTTTTTACAACTTGGCACAAAACTATATTCTCAAATGTTGAGCAATAGCCGATTCCATATTCATGGGGGAAGATAGCATATTCTATCTATCTTACCAAGTCGTATTTTGGAAGGAACGTGCTGATTAATTCTAGTTTCCAAATGCAACTTGTACGCCCCATCTGTTGGGGGATATTTTATTTTAACTGTCCCTCGCTATTTATTTACATATAACCCTTCCTCGTTACAAGTATATATACTTGTTTGTTATTTTATTTTAAAAAATGCTCTTTTTTTTTTTTTTTTTTTGCTCTTCAATATCGTTAATATTCTTTTCGCTAATCCAACGATTGTCTCCTGATGAGATGTTGGCTGAAAGGGCTCTAGAGACTTTTAATATTAAAATCAATGGTTTCCTAGTTTTTAAAACTATTTATAAATTTTGTACCTCCAAACATTTGTTTATATATATATATATATATATATATATATTCGAAAATATATGGAAAACAATATTGCATATTTATTAAATAATATTTGACATTTTAATCATTAAATTGTTTTTAAAATAGTTGGATTTTTTTGTATGTTAAATAATGAAACTTAATGTTTGCCAAAATGTGCGAAAATGTTTTGAATTAAGTTACCTTCCCTAGTAAAACCAACTGTACTTTGAACTCCTTTACCTGTTTGCACATCTCCCGAAAATTCGTGATCGATCGGTTAATGTATGATTATTTTATAGAATATGACAGATGGAAGAACTAACACAAATCATAGAATTGTGTACGTAGATCGCGTGGTGAGATGAGCCTTTGATACATATGACTGTCAGTCATCATACAGCGTTGATTTCTATGTACATCTGTTGGTATTGATAGATTTTCTTTCCTCTCATCTTGCAAAGAAATATTTCCTTTGAGTCGATAGATATAATCTAATTTTAAAAAGGTATTGCATTTTTCACTTAATATTTCCCGAATGCAACATATTTTAACAATGAGATAATCGAAAAGATAAAACGATAATGGTTTTGTCTTTTTTCTTTTCACTTTCTGTCTTTGAAAAATGTGTCACCAGATCTTATCATAGAAGTGATTCTAACTATTTATCCCCCATCCATTGGTCTACCTTAACACACACACACACACAAATATATATATATATATATATATATATATATATATATATATATATATATATATGAATGAATGTATTTATCAGCGAAATTTTGGTAAGCTTATAGACTGCACTACATTTGCTCTACTTTTGAAACTTTCCTCAACCCATTTTGGGTGAATATGTGTCTCTGTGTGTTCATGTTTACATCCATATCAAATCTGTGGTCTTAATATACCCATCCTTATACTTATCAAATAGTTTTCACAGTATAAGCATAAAGAAAACTGAAGTTGACCATCAATCAAGGCTTACACCTAAGCAGGTCAACGGTGTAAAACAAAAACTACTTTTCCATATCTTTAAAATCGTTCCCATTACTGCTGGCAGTTATGTGAAATCATTCTCCTACTTAGGAAGCAAAGTCAATTCAAGCGCCTCTTTAGATGATAAATAGTTAACCGAATATCAAAGGCAATCAATGCATTTGGGAATCTTAAGCATCGCCAATGAGATGTTCATGAGATTTCACTGAAAATGAAAATCATTGTCTATCAAGCAGTCCTCACTACACTTCTTTATGGGTCAGAATCGTGGACGCCATACAGGACGCACATCAATCAACTTGATGATTTTCATAAACGCTGTCTTCGTTCAATATGCGGTTATACACGGCAGGACAAAATCTCTAACCCTGATCTTTTCATCAAATGTGGTGTCGGTTTTATTGAATCCTTTCTGATGCAATCACAGTTCAGATGGGATGGTCATGTCATCAGAATGAGTGATGATCGGATGCCGAAAGTCCTCATGTGTAGCCAACCTTTTCATGGTAAGCGTAATGTAGGTCGTCCTTGGTTACGCTTCAATAGACAATAGAATTTAAATGTTGCAAACATCCCTATAGAACTTTTCGAACTTGCTGCTTTCCTTTCGAACAAACTGAGAAATACCTGCTACTTTTTAGAACTAACTTTGAAAAGAATTGTCTCAACCATCAGAGACAATTAAGGATTAACACTAACTCTTAGGCTAATACATAAATCCATATGGCGGTCAAAGCTTTGAAAATGCCATTCGTGTGGATTGGTTTGCAAATCTCGTGCCTATTTTTGTCTCATACGAACAACGACTGATTTTCATCATATATATATATATATATATATATATATATATATATATATAAGCTATTACATTCCCAGCAAATATTATATATTTATCATTATTAAAATGATTAACTACCAACACCGAGGTTCGAACGTGACACTCTGGACTTATTAATATATATTTTCCGCCATGTGTAAAAATAGCGGTGTCAGGCTACTGACTGCAGTGACTATTAAGTGGAACTATTCAGTCGAATTAGTGTGAATTATTATGCCTCGATAATTTGGGTTTTGATTTACGATTTACCGGACGTTAAACCGAGCTGTGCTATTCATTGAAATGATTAATTATCTTTGGTTGAATTTTATTTCTTTGTTCTTGTTAAATATTTATTTGCGGTTGTAATTAAATACTGATTTATATTTTAACATTGAAGTCTTGAGTTATACTTAATTATTAACGGCCACCGTACGTCACAAGAGACAGAAAGAAGGAAAGAAAGTAGGAAGGAAATAAAAAAGAATGAAAGTAAGAAAGAAAGAAACAAGCAAACAAAAGGAAGATAAAGACGGAAATAACGCTCTTAGGTCTTTAACGTCTGCTTCAACGAAACAAAAAAAGACTTGTTAATTTAAAATCATTTCATTGCAAACCCTTCCTTCTTTAATGACCTACACTCATATTATGATTGTTAATGAAATATTTTGTTAATGCTCTTAGGCTCAAATATTTCACAGTATAACAGAAGTCATCCAGACGTACATTATTAGTCTATGGTGCTATTGTTTTTTTTGACAGAACTAGCGATAATTTATTCCATAATTAACTTAAGAATTAAGATTCAACAGAAAATTCAAATAGAAAAACCGTGTAATTTTCAGGAGTAGTTTTTTTCTCTTCTTCTTCATATTA